ATGTGGCAGGGGGGTTGGAGATTCATGATCCTTGAGGTCCCTTCCAACCCTGGCAATTCTGTGATTGTGTGTGTGTGTGTGTGTGTGTGTGCGCGCACGCGCATGTGGACTGCTATGTAGCAAATCACAGCTTGGACGGTGTAAGGATATGGATGACAAAAGAACAAACCAGGTCAAGCCTGTTCACATTGCAGGTGGATCTGCTACATTCCTCCCTTACCTCCATTACAGTAACATAAGACAAATCTTTTCTAATAAATTACACTTTATTACCAGTTGTGACCTAGAGACAAAAATTTACTACCAGGACTAGAAATTCATACATCCACCACTGTTAATGATTCTGAGCAAATCAGAAAAGTTCTTTCAAGATGTATTTTTCACTTTCTTTTTTTCCAGTTTTCTTTACATTTTCCACCCACTATAATGCAATAAAATGCACTTACTTAATGCAATTATTGCACTTACTGCAATAAAGATTCTTAACTACAATACCATAATTTAAATTTTATCCCGCTTTGCTTATTCACAAAACTTTACACAGGACAGGGCAGCAAACCTACTTACTATTTACTGTTAATACTATTTAAGGATACATATAGCCTGAACAGCCTCTATGGCTTGTTCAAAAGTGACAGTGCCAATTCCACGACTTTTGCCATCTTTATCTTCTAGTATGTCTGCTCGAACCACAGCACCAGCCATGCTGAAGACTTCTTTCAGTTTCTTCCAACCAACCTTGTAATCCAACTGGAAGACAAGTGATATTAAAAGCATGAGAAAGCTTTCCAACAAAATAATACCTTTCATGTTCTCACTTTCCTTTCTCAGTATCTGCAATCACAAGAATAAGTAGTGTTCAGACAGATGGGATGAAATGTAAATAACAGGATGTCAGAGAATGCTCCAGAACCTCATGTATTACTCAACACTCTAATATATAGGAAACAGCAACCTTACTTTACTCAGAGAATCACCGAATAATCTGGTCTGGAAAGGGACTTCCAGAAGTCACTACTCTTAACTCACTGCTGAAAACAGCTCTAATTAGTTCAGGTCATTCAGGGCCATGCCCAGCTCAGCTGTGAGCACTGTGAAGAGCATATAGCTGACAATCTCTATCCAAGCCCTCCAGCATTTCATCAGTTTCAAGGTAAAAAAAAAAAAAAAAAAATAGAAGCGCCCATCTTCCAACTCACGTACCCTAAAAAGAGCTTGGTTCTGTTTTCTGTGTCCCCTGATGAGAGACCTGATGCAGCAATCAGGTATTTCTTTAGCTTTCTTCCTTTAAAGCTGAACAAACCCAGACCCTTCAGACTTTCCATGAGTTCACATTCTCTAGTCTCCATCTATCTCGATGTCTCTCCACTGCCTCTCCTTCAAATAAGCTACATTTTCCTCTGCTGACCATGGTTAGTTTGAAAACACCACGTACTCTAAAGAATCAGGGAAGCACAATGAGGAAAAATGTTTTTACACTACATCCATGACAGCTTTCCCAGCAAAGATCTCATTTTTTGTTCATAGGAAGCACTGAAAGCTTACTGTCCACTCAGCAGGTGTTCCAAGTAAGTTACTACTCATTTTTACAGAGAAATTCTGCAGCTCTTCCTTTAATTTACTAGATTGAACTCATTTAAGATCCAGGTTTTCTCTACACAGACCATACAAAACACTTACATTTGCAACAAAGACAGTGCTTCCAAGTCTCCCTGCCTGTAAAGCATGAATGATCTCATTGGGTATGTTGGGATTGTTGAGTATACTAGGTGGGATATTGATCATTCCAGGGCCACCAGGGCCTGGGCCAATACCCATTCCACCAGCTGCCATGACCTTCTGCATTGCTCTCCTGGCATGCTCACCATCAGGATCCTGCAAAACACAGAAACAACAAATTAAGTTTGCCACAATTCCAATAAACGCATGGGGATTTAGTAGCATGGCCACAAGTCAAAAGAAGAGATTTTCTTTTATATGTGTCTATCTGGTCCCTGTAAATCTACAGTCAATCACATTGCTATATTTTTATTATCATCTTATTTTTTAAAACCAAAAGTATGAGGCACCTTCAAGTTAGCAAGTTACTCATGCATTTCCCTTCATTCTGAAGGTATGTATTTATTATTTAAAACCCACACCAAACCTCAGCCACATTTGTTCTGAAGACAGAATGACATTGCAAAGGTTTTAGAAGAGAAATGGCTATTAACTTTTGGCATTTTGAAAACAATACAACAACTCATTAATCTTGCAATTACACTTCACAAGACAAGATACACTGTGTAAAATCTCAAGAAGATTCCTTTGGGCAGCTCTTACGCCTCAACCTCCTAAGTCTCCAAATTGAAAAAATACTTGGGGTGTATCATCATATTACTGTGAGATCTCACGTTTTAGGATGTTCTTAAAATGTGAAGCACAGGACAAAGACTTCTAGCAAGGAAATAAAATTATTTTAACTTCATACTGAAAGTGAAAGTGAGAACCTTCACGATACATGGTAAACTGATGTTGCTTAAATCAGAAATGTCAAATTGTGTTCAGTGAGCAAGTGAAAAAAATCAAAATTCATTCCATTAGTCAGAAACAGAGGTGTTAAAAATAAAAGTTACTTAAATTAAACAATATCTTTATCTGAATTTTAAGAAGAAAAAATAGCACATCTGTGAAAATAGGTGGAATTATACTTTTCATGATTAATCCAGCAAAATCTACTTTAATCAGTCATTCACTTGAAGGCTTTCATGCTTTCCAGCAATGAAACAGCCAACACGGAGATGTACATGCTGGGCAGTTGGCAAAACTCATGCTAATATTGTCTACAACAATTTAACTCCTTTCACACAGTCAGAATCCTTGGCTTGGAGAAGCGGTACTGAGCCCCTTACAACTGAAGCATGCTTCACCCATTTCAGCTATCATTTCTGTTCTGTTTGTGCCATTTAAGCAGAAATATTCAAGTATGGCAATCGCTTTATGAAGACTTGGTCAAATTACAACTATTTCTTTCCAAGGTCTAATACCAACCGGGCAATGTCACTTTCAGTTCTAAATGTATATAACAGGAAAACTAATCACACACAGCCCAATTTCAATACCTTTTTCTCCCAAGAGCCTTTCTGAAAAGTCAGTGCTTGGTAAGTTTCAGGTAGAACCACTTTTCTAATAATCCATTTCTACTCTCACTTCCCTGAAAGGGCAGCAAGAGGTCACCAGCAGCAGAGGATGGCTTGCAGCAAGACTCAAACCACTGCTCCTCAGAATGCATAAAATCATGTAAAATAAGCTAGATTCTGAGAAGTGCTGCTACTTGCACACCTCATTCTTTTTCCTCAAGTGCTTCTAAGAATATACATGGACTTTCTGCACACATTTCCCATCTTACACTCATTCAGGTGTTTTTTCTCCCAACCATTCGGGGTGGTACAGGCACAGCAGAACATGAAGCCTGCTTAGCCAAAAACAACTTGCTTACCCTACGGCCAAGAGTCACTGTTAACACTGAAGAAGTCTCTCTTGATTTTTGTTTAATTGGGCCTTTGATGTAGCTACAGGTTCTAAGCTGCTGGAACAGAAGTTTAAACTTGTCAATGAATAAGGATTAACTCATGGTACAGTTGAGCGTGTCACAGGGGTTGACGACAGCAAAGCCACTAGAACGGAAACAAATCTTCAAAGTATTTCAGAAACCAGCTTATTTTATGGAACTGTTTGCAGAACACATTCATCATGATGCAGAATTAAATGGAAAGCAGTCAGTCAAGAACAAACAATACTCATGCAAGTTGCTTTTTCAAGTCATATACCTGCAGTTACAGCTTGCTTTGCCCAAGTTCTGCCTTACTATCAGAAGCAACTATTTTTTAAATCAAGTTTAGTCTAGGCAACCACATTCAAACTGAAGTTCAGCAACATATGCTAGGGGTAAAGAAAATTTAATATCTATTTCAAGAGTCATGCTTTTGGTCAAAAATCATCAGGTGCAAGTGAGTAAGCCATACTGCTGGACTGCAGAGCACCCCTCTGCCTTTTTCCACGGCGCTGAAAGAACAGATGTGAGTCTTACTTCTTTCACTTTCAACGGTCTTCCACCAAGACTATGCTTGTTCAAAACCTCTGCAGCCTTTTTCATGCTTTCTTCCATCTTGAATTCAACAACACTGTGAAGATACAAGACTTCTAAGAACACTGCTTGTATCTTAAGAGTTACCTCATTTCTTGCTAAAAATTCATAAGTGAACTTACGCGCATCCCTGATGATATCATTTCACAGACGAATAACAAGGAGAGGAGGGAAGAAAAAATAAAGTAAGTAAAAGCACAAAACACAAACAACATTTTAAAAAAGTCAATTCACATTAGTTAACTCTAATAGAAAAAAAATGAATGTAATGTTACCCAATAAAACCTTCATTACTTGAATTCCATAAGATGTAATTGCTTATGCATTAAAAGGGTTAAGCTGTAGTTTCTGAAGTTGTAACAAGCAGAACTAAGTCCATGTTCTCCAAGAAAAATACCACACACTTCATATCAACTGTTCTTGCCTGTCATACAGCAAAATCCTGGCCATATTCTCTCACCCTAAATCCATACCCTTCAGGACAGTTAAGTGAGCTGCTACTGTTTCTTCCTGCAAGATATCTTCACTGGACTGAAGGACTTAAGTCAATTTCTAAACTTAAATGCATATTGCCTTCATAGGTACTTATGTTTACTCTCACAGGAAGTATATTTTACAGAACCTGCTTCTACACACTGCCCTTACAAGTTCAGCAAACCACTACAGTGACATTTTCCAAAACACAAGTATTACTTTAATATTCCATACCACTATACATACTGCTAAGGTCCATGGGCAATGCAAACAGCCAACACCAACTGAACACAGTGGAAGACCACCCTAACACTGTTTCCAAGTTCCCATCCCACCACCTCCCCATTCCCGCAGCTTTTAAGCAATCCTGTGCTATAGCCACTAAGCATACACACTCTGCCTCCCTGACTTCCTTTCATTCCACGCCACTATACAATTACATTTGTCATGTAGAAAATCCACAGAAGAAATTCTCACAAACACTTACCCTTGACTTTCCTTCAGCGTCCATTAAGAGCTCCACGTATGTTACCTCACCAACTACAAATCAGATTCCAGACGACACATATACCAAGGGAGAAAAGCCAAGAAAACAATGGGAATTTAGAACAATCAACCGTGTATGGAGCCTCTGCCTTATAAGAAAGCCCAGAAACACTCCATGTTCTCTAAACCACAAAACTGGACAATTACAGGTATGCAGTAAAATCTTAAGAATTAAGTATGTTCTTGTTTTTCCTCCACTTGAAAAGCTGACTATTTCCACAATATCTATTTATTCAATCTTTAGTGCTCACTGATGACACTTCAGGCAATCCAAATCTATGAGGAAGTCTGCAAAACAGTTTTCCTTCTCTTTGCATGGCATGCAGTCTCATCTCCCCAGCTCAGAACTTGAACAGTCATTCACTTTTCTCAGGACTTTTCTCCAGTCAATATCTAAAGAAGGGATCAGACTGACCCGACAGACCAGAAGATCATTCACTGCCTACTTCATTTCAGCAATTTAGCCCATTGTTAAGTAGAATTTCAGTCCACATTTTGGGCTTGATAATAAGTAATTAGCTGTCTGCCATATTTGCCTCCAAGACAAAACAGCTTAGAGCAAGATGCAAAACACACCAGAAAACCATATCTGCACCATTCCTCACAAGATTGGGATTGCTTTTTGTTATGTTGATCTCTTTTGCGTTTGTTTTGTTTTTGTGACCACAGAACTGTATGATGTATCTCCAGAACACAACTACCGCAATGGCTGCTGCCCTTGAAGTGAGTGGCATACAGAGGTTTTTCAGAATCACTTTTTTTTTTTAATAAGACTTTTTTCTTTGCACATTCTACTTTTTAAATACAAGATAAGAGGACTCCAAGTTATATTATCTGAAAGGTGGAAAGAAAACAGTATCACAACCAGATGTGAATACTGATAGCATAGTCTAAGCAAGGGAATCTCACATTTAAGAGTTTCCTTCCCAGAGAGGGAGAGCACTCAGCCCCAGCACCCACAGGAGCAGTCCTTCATCAGACACATACCACCATTGGAATGGACTGTTCCGTATTTTTTTTCTAGAAGCTGAAAGAAAAGGAATGCTTGATAAAATTGCATTTTTCTTCTTCCATTTCCAATTTAAAAACAAATTAATCCATGTCAACATTCCATCCAAAGAGCAGTTAGTTTGACAGACTAAAGCAGTCATTCAATCATATTTTCATGAGGTTCAAGCCTGGTAGAGCCAAACAAACCCCTTCAAAATGGACAGGGCAGATTAGAGTGCTCACTAATTATCCATAGTATTATTCATTACTTCAATGACAGCTCTTGAAATAAAGCATAACAAAAACCATCTCCTCCCTGTAATCTGAACAGTACGAGATCACGCCGTACCAGTGGGATTGCTTCCACAGCCAACAGAATGAAGGGACTGCACTGTCACAGTCCTCCCAGCACCATCTCTGGTGGGACAGGACATGGGCACCGTGCACCCAGTCCAAACATTCCGCATTACCACGACATTCTGAAGCCATTTATCTCAACAGCAGCAGCCAATGGAACTTTTATCAAGAACGCAATTGTGATTCAACAATTTATGCAGTAAGACAACAAATGCCCAGACTGCCTACAGTAGAAAAGCACTCAGTTTCACAGAGCATAGCAATGACAAGTTACAAGCCTGCGACTCTGCGTTCTCAATAACACTTCTGTGCCCCTGGATCAAGGGTTCTCTGAGCTGCTAATCAAAGCCAGCTACAGCTCCTAACACACACACCAGCGCTTCCAGAAAGAAGTCTGCCCACCTTGAACATAACGTTGTAAATATAATTTAACATGCTTTTTTTTTTTTTTCTTTTAAAAGGAACATGACCTCTGAACAAGATTTCCTGAAGTCTGATACAGCAGCAATTGTGTATTACCTGGAAAATTGTGTCAATTTGCTAAGTACTCCACATTCAAGCCTTACAGACGCCTGCACTAAAACTAAAACACACATCTTGAAGGACCTTTGAATTTTCCTGAAGAGCCAGAAAACCACAAACAAAACATGATGTGCGCGGAGGGGGGAAACGACCCAGATACTAAGCCACTACACTATTTAAGAAAACAATTCCAGATTACAGAATTGAAGGAGGAAAGAAAAAAAAAAACAGCTCTTTTCACTTTTTTCACCTGAGAAACATGTTAGCTTGACAGTTCTTCCAGACTTTTTATTTGAGGCTGGCAAAGGAAACCTGTGGTAGGCCATGTTTTACTTGGCTTCTTTGTAGAATTCCAAACCACAGGAACATCAGAAGATCAGGAAGTGAGGATGTATCAGTGATAGAAGGCAAGGATAGCCCGTAACTTTGCAAAGACAATTAAGCCACAGAGAAATAGCAACAGCAGATAGCCCTGTCTGAAACCTCCTGAGGGCAAAAGGAACACAGCCCTTTCTGCTAGCAAACAGTTAGCTTGTGTGACAGAAGATATCCTGCATCCACAAGCAAAGAAATTTCATTCAAACACAAGAGAAGACCACTTACAGTACTTAAAAGGAGCCAACAATAAAGATGAGGAGACTCTTTATCAGAGTGTGTAGTGATAGGACAAGGGGTAACAGCTTTAAACTAGAGGAGGAAAGATTTAGATGAGATGTTAGGAATTAGGAAGCAATTCTTTACTGAGTGGTGAGGCCCGGGCTGTGTTCCCATCCCCAGAAGGGCACACAGCCACGCTGGATGAGGCTCCAGGCAGCCTGAGCTGGTAGGTGTCCCATAGCACAAGAGGTTGAAACTAGATGATCATGAAGGTTCCTTCCAACTCAGTCTATTGTATCATTCTATGAATGCCAGATCAGCCCCCAGGGGGAGAGAAAATTACAGAAAATACTAGCTCTAAGTTAATGCAGATATAATTAAGGAATATGTACTGCACAGTGTCATGACAGACTTCCTTTTTAAAGCTCTTATCTGAGAGAGTTCAGGAACTCAGCAGTTCCTAATACAGATAACTGCAGCAGAAATGGAAACAAGTAGAAAAGCTAACTAAAGCAATCTCTACTCTTATTTATGACCAAGTGCTACTTCATACAGTCATCATTTCTCCTCTGGGGAGAGAATATAAAATCTGGGAAGTTTTATCTGCACTGAAAATTTAGACTTTAGTCTAAATTTAGCTAGTTAGTCTGTGAGATTCACACATCTAAGAAATAACTAGGAGAAAACTGAGAAATAACTAGGAGAAAAAGCTCAGCTGTAGACATCAGATTTGAGGAATATGAAGTTGGGCAATATGATTCTCTCTGAAAGATCCAAAGATGCAAGTATCAGCAAGTAGAGAAGCACAGAAAATGAGGAAGTGGTAAATGCTTTATGTAACAGTAGTTGCTTTGACTCAAAGTGTCAAAAGTAAATAATAAATAAAGTAGCTTCTCAAGACAACACCAAAATTAAATACAGTTCCATTATCTTCACTACAGTCAAAACAACTGATGCAAAAGCAATAAGACTGTGCTATCAAAAGCTTGATACCTTTAATATTAGACAATTTGTAATTTGCTAATTACCCCTTCATTTATGGTGCTTGAAAGCTCATGACTGGCAATTGCTAGAAAGTTTCATGGAGGGTAGGGAAGAGACAACACTTAATGCACATGATGTACAAAGCTTTAGTTAAAAGGTGAGAAGAAAAATACTTTTACCAAAGGGGAAATGGATAATTTTTAGCACAGGGGAGTGGAAGTCTCACTTTCACGTGAGGGACCAGAAGAAAAAAGCCTGAGCAGTTTTGGTTCTACTCCACCACCTTGAAAAGGCGGTTAGAGCAATGAAAATAGAGCAACTTGATGGCTGCAACTGATTTGATGGCCTAATCTTAGTGGTCATTCCCAACTTTAATGTGAAAGAAGTAGTCAGATCCTCAAAGTCTTAATTGAATTATCTACACTGAAAGCTTTAATGCTAATGAAATTTAAGATATTTGCTTAAAATATTGTTAGCATTAGAATGGAACTGAAACCTCCTCTGTGCATCTTGCTGGAAATCTTACTGATTGTGCCACCTCTTGAACAAGGTGGCAGACAGCTCAAGAGCAATTTCTGTTCTTCGTAAAACGCCACAATTCCCATTAAATTTAACTATCAAGGCAGAAATGCTAAATTTAGTTTGGTTTAAAAAAAAAAAAACAACAGTACAACATAAGTTTGCACTGGTAAGTCCTATTATGAGGTACCAAATTCCACTGAATGGTTTTTCAGTATGTTTAAGTGAAGCACTGCCCTCAGAAATCAGGCTTAAACAGCACTCACAGCTCAGCTCTGACTCATATTTGGTGCATAGCTGGATTTAAAAGATCTAAAGCTTACAGATACAACCTACTGACTGTACAAAGTAAGTCCTGAATGGTAAACATTGTGCAAAAGAAAACAAAGAAGTTAAAGGCTTGCAATCACCTCAGCTCTCAGCTACTATTTTGTTTTTCTAAGAACACTCAGGTGCCTTGCTGTGAACATATCATACCCATCAGTACTGGCAAACCCATGGTGCAGTCACCATGCATGTAAATTCATGACAGAAAAGACTTCAGACAGCATTCTCACATGTCTGAAAAGTACCACCAAGTTTCAAATTGTGAAAGTTCTTTCCAACACCAATGGAAAACACAAAACTCCAGCTCTACTTGCCTTTTAATCACTATAACTTACTGCAGTACATTTTCCGCTTTGATCAGAAAGTGAATTAAGCTGAAACATCTGCAATTAACAAAAATACAACTGTTTTGGCTGAGACAGTCAATTTTTCCTTCATAGCATGTAGTATGATGCTGTGTTTTGGCTTCAGATGAAAAACAATGCTGGTAACACATCAACATTTCAGTCGTTGCTGAGGTGCACTGCACAGAGCTCTAAGTTCTAATCTTCCTGTTGGAACAGTGATGATAGCATGCAGGGTATTTTACTGGCATCCACTGAAATTCTACTTCCTTGTGCAGAACGAAGGGCACTGAAGCATTAGCTGCAGTAGCAGATTCAATATTAAAAATAAACTGACTAGTACAAAGGTGGTTGTAGAACCTGATGTTGCAGAATGATGGAAGCAGTTCAGGAAGGAAGGAGGGAGGGAGGTTGAGAGGCCTGCAGAAGATCCATTTTTAAGTAAATTGAGATAGGAGAAGAAATCCCTTTATGACAAGATGCTGTTGAGAACTTGTTAGCACACCAACTGAAAGCAAGGGAGGAAAAAGACAGATAAATTAACCCATCCTTTGCTCTTTGCCCATCAAAAACTTCAGTCTGAAAGCACACCATGAATCTTCTCTGGCTCTGAAGCCCATGTAGCCCTCCAGGAACAGCTGCCTTGAAGTATGAACAGTTGTTACTCTCAAACTGATGAAAATGCTGTACAGTACCTGGGGTCAACTACAGTAACAAGAGGGCTTCAGCTGTATCTTTAAGAGGCCACAAAGATTCTAACAACTTCAGGAGACAGAGCAAAAGAAAAGACTGTATATGTAGTTTAGCTGTTGCTTTTTTTCATATAAAGTTTAATCCGCAAAAAGCGTTGTTCTCTCTCCTCAAATCTGTTCCTACATCTAGGTTCTGATAGGAAGAGACAGACGTGCCTGCAAGATAAGCGGTTACAACCATTCTAATACAAGTAGTCCCTAGGCTGTCCTGAGACCCTTACATGTGATGTGAGCACAGCCTTGACTGCTCCTAGCTTTGCCACAGACCAGAACATAACTACTTTTATAGTTAACATTCCTCCTTGTACTGTCTGCCATCCTGCTAGTCTTGACAAGAAAAGGTTTTAAATACAAAATTCTGTACTTCCTAAAGGAATCTATAAATGTCTCAAATTCAATTATTTGTTGTAATCATGCAGTATTGCACAATGTATACCAGCTGTCATGAAGTATTACCATTTTGTTCCCCAAGACAGAGACATTTGATGGGGGGACAGATTAAGACATATTAAGTATTTGATCACATTTACTTTTAGATTCCACTTACATTCTGAAGACCTGCTGCCTCATTCTTTTGAAGCCACCTACCAATTGCCAGTAATCAGTGCTGATAAAACATTGTGTCTGTCAGCCAGTACAAGGGAGTTGCAAACAAGAACACTTGGTTATTTTGTTAACAACTTTTTAATACTGCATACCTGTAATTGAGTTTCACCAACGAATACACTGAAATGGCTGAACTAAGGCGTTACTCTTGAGAGAGATGTCACCTTTAGAAGATTTCAGATGTGCGCATCTGAAAGAACCAGATCATGGAAATATCAGACCTCCAAAGCTCATATCCTAACCCATACTTACTGACACAAAACAGCTGATGGAGGTGAACTCCTCCGTTCAGTCCCCTGCTACGCCATTGCTGCTAACAGCTTCAGTCTTTAGACTGCCAAGCAATGCAGCAGTCACAAATCCCCTACGTTTACCCTTTGTGTACAAATCCATTTCACATGCTCTCAAAGCCTTGAACATTTGGCCTGTAATTCTTACACTCACAAACCAAGAATTCTAACATTTAGATTTTTCCTCAGCTACATTCCTGGTTCTTGGAACTACTATGCCTTATATCAAGAAGCACCGATTCAGCGAGTTCAAGCACAGCACAAAAGCACCAATTTGGAAGAAGTCAGGAACTAATTAGAATGAATCACAACTACACAGCAAATCTAAACTGTAATGTTTTAAGAAGCAGTCCCAAAAACCAAGAACAATGCTTCTCAATATTTAGCATATCAACCCTGCAGACAGAATGAAGAGGTTTCAACGTTCCCCTAGGAGTATCTGCTGGAATGAGCAGCTGAACAGCAAGGCAGGAAACAATCTCACATCGGACTTTTCCATCCACGTGAACTGGAGAGAAACCACAAAACACTTGGAACGGAATTCAACATAGCACTTAAAGTTAGACATCTACACATACAGATACTCCTAATAACCAATGTATCTTGTGTAGCAAAGTGAAAGCATAGTTTAAAGCAAGGGACCATGCATAATTGGGGCTTGTTAAAGCAGTCTCTTAAGACTGTAATCTTCAGATTTCAGGAAACCATTGGTTGCATCTCAAGTGTCAACATCTCACGTCCTCTAACTATGGCAGTTTGTCATGGCTTATAGTCCTTAAGTTCATTGCACAGACTCAGCAGCTCCATTTTGCCTCCAAAAACAGACATTGGAAAACACTTTTGGAAGTGTTTTTCCTGATTCTTTAGGCCACAACTCATGAAACATCATCCCTTATCTAGTTCAAACAACAGTGAACATTGCTCTCTATCTTGCTAGGCTTATGCTATGTATTTTAGAAGTGACCCACAAGAGGAATGGTTGCATTCATAACTCCTAGCACGGTTCGAGATATTTTATTGATGGGGAAGCCAATTTTCTGGCTGACCCACCGCATTTCCAAAGCAACTTCAAAATCTGCAGGCTGGGCATCAACTTAAAGAAATAACACTAAGTGAGCCAAGAATCTGCATTTAGACTCATCACCACCTGAGTGTAATCAACTCAGTTTCTTCATCATCTTGAAGAGATGAAGATGCTAAGGCCTGCAAACTAAGAAGGTTCCCGTTCAGGGTGTAAGTTGAAGAGAACCAGGGATGAGGAAAACAGGGCTTTGGAAATCAAGTTTATTCTATCTGTGTTGAGGTACATGCCAAAGCATAAACCTGATTTTTCTCCTTTGCAGGTCACCCTTAAATACATTTTTACTGATATCAACTGGCAATGCGGATCTTTCTCTAAGCCCAGATCACTACAAAGTTTGGAGACACACATGTAGGAACACACTTGCTAGATCAGCATTACATAATTAACTTACTACCAAGAGACAATAAAATTCTTCAGGAAGTTTTACTGCATGTCAAGACTAAAACCTGATAAAAGCCTCTTTTTTCTCCACCAATAAGACAAATGCTCTTCGTAACCTCTGATGAAACGCTATAATAAATATGCCAACATGTCTATAGAAGATCTCCCCATCTGGAAGGCTGCCAGAGAACAATACTGTGCAGCAAAAAAAAAAGCCTTCAAGGAGATCTTTCCCAAAACTCATGTCGTAAGTTCACCCAGAACTTCAACTGTTAAGTTCACAAAGTTAGCAGCAAGTCAGATGACAGACACCACTTGATCAAAATTAGTTGTACTTTACCTTTCTCCTTGACCAGATCTTTCAGAGACTGCCACTTCACATCAAATGGAATATTTGTAATAAAAGCTCTGTATCTCTTGGCAGGATTAGCGTATGGCTCAAAGCGATTCCCTCCTCTTTTCACACTCTTCTCTTTCCTTTTCTCATTCTGACTCGGTCGTTCACCTTCACTGCAAACAATGAAAGATAATGAGACATATTAAGTACACTGACATTCTACCCGTGTCATACCACCCTACAGAATGTTATTTTTCTATATTCAAAACAAAAATCAAAACTTTCAAGATTTCATCTACTACTCGCAGCACGATCATAAGAGCAGAGATTGGCACTCACACAATCAGTGCTACACACTGTATTCTAACAAGGATATCCCAGCAGTACACAACTTGTACCACCACAACACGCTACCCTCTCTCACATTTATTTATGCAGCATAACAAAAGCTTCTGACAACTTCAGACGATGAATGTCTTCAATGCCAAGCAGGCAGAACTGCACATCCTTGTGATGCTCCAGACCAGATATCCACTACTTTTTCCTTAACCTATCATTTTTCAACATCTTTTAGACAAATAATACATTCATCCACCATATTTATATTCTTGCACTGTAAGAATTTCAGCCAAGTGATGCTGCATCTAAGCACTCCCTTCAGTGACAACACTTTTTACTCTCCACCCCCCAAATATAATTTTTGGACAATGCAAATCCAAAGCTGCCACGCCTTTCAACAAACACCCAGAATAGTCTCCATAACTATTTCAGAACACTAGCTCTAACAAGTCAAAAGTAAGCAAGAAGAAACTATTTCTGAACCAACCTAGCTGCCCATCAGGTCTTAACAGGACATAAATGCCACTAATCATGGAATGGTTTGGGTTGGAAGGGACCTCAGAGATCACCTTGCTCCAACCCCCTCCCACCAGACCAAGTTGCTCAGAGCCCCATCCAGGCTGGCCCTGAATGCCCCCAGGGAGGAGAACAGCACTATTGAAAAACAGCACTCAGTATATAAGATGTAAGTACTCAAAAATAAAATAAGAAAATGAAATCTTTAGTCTCAGCCTGACACGATTTTTTAACTGAGTCGATTAACTTTCCTGCTCACTGTGTGCTGTTCAGAAGATGCAAAACCACTGCTTTAGAAGGAGACCAAGAGAACACAAGTCTTCTTCATCAACTTATTTGTGTATACAATGAGTTTTTACAGAGCCTATACAGTCCAAGCCATGTCAGAAACTAGTATTTGTGTAAGAAATTTGATTTCTGATGTGAACGTACTTCAACATCAACACTATTCACTCCCCTAGAACCATTTCAAATCACCGAGCAGATACAACAGCCTGCAGGGTGGGATGCATGCACTTGTCTATGAAGTGTTATATTGGAACAAATTCCTCATTTTCACTGTGTGACAACTTTTTTAGTCACAAACACTTCTTGAAATCAAATACACAGAAGTGTTGTACTTAACAGGCACAACCATAACAGCAAACAGGATTTGTCCTTAACTATGGCCATTGTGTTTCAACTGGACAGCAAAGAAGATATAGGTTCTGTATGACAAGTAATGTGCTGGAAGGAAGGTCTATAATGAAACGCTTTAATTAGTTATCTACAGTATTTAATCAGAAACTGAAGTTTTAGACTTTCCCACTTGGAGCTTTTGAAAAGCTCCTTAAATGATGAAATAATGAAAAACTCCAGAACAGGTGAGGAGAATCCTTGGAACTCCTTAACTTCTGTTTGACTGAAGAAATAACACAAAGTTGAGCACATCTGCTAGAAGCTACACCCAACGCACAGCTGTTCCTCAACCTTGGAACTGTGACACACAGGTAGAACTGCTGTGAAACGTGCTTCAAGCTCACAGCGTGATGCAAAGGCATTTTCCAGTTTTGCATTTAAATCTCTCTGATTAGATTATAAACATATCAAGCTGTCACATATTTCTATAAAGAATTCAGGCAAGCAACACTACCTGCCATTAAAGGCAAATACAAAGCTAGGAATTATTCCTGCAAACATTCAGTGTAACAAAATCCAGCCAAAATCCAGGTGAAAAGAAACTGCTTCAGCTACAAGGTTTCTTATTTGTAGGACTTCAGGTATACCTCCACAGCTATCCCCAACACCCAAAAAACAATAACAGTAAAAGCATGACAGCAAGGTGCGGGGCCACAGAGGTTCATGTCAAACACGAACACAACTGATTATTCAGGACTTCCTTACAGCAGGAAGGAGTGAATTCCCCACGTCACCTAAAAATACATCATGTCTGTGTGTGTCATTAAGAGAGAGAGGTGACTGAAATGAAACTCCCACAGCAGCTTTGCCCATCCCAATAGGGAACTAATCTGAATAACTGTGATCCATTTACAAAGATAACATAAGGTATACAGAAAAATAACGCCCCTGGGGCACAGGCAAGATCCACAGAAAGTAACACATTTCAGGAGCTTTCAAAATACACTTTATTTACTTTGATTTCTCTTGCGTTACAGCACCACACACCTCAGGACTACCAAAGTGTTACCAAAGAAACAACTGTAACTGCATCACCCAGGGCTGCAGGCTGTGTGGTGTAAAATGACCCCCAAAAAGGAGCACCCTGAGGGATCGAATGCCCAGCGCTCAGGAATAATGAGCTGAAGGGCTTCCCGCAGCCCTTGCTGACTGCAGCTGTGGGTTGTTTTGGTTTTAAGACACCTCTCACACTGTGGATCCACACAGCACAGCGTGGCACCTAACAGTGCTCAGCAGCTGGAACCGTGAGCTGTGCAGAACCTCAGAAAATCCACTTACACACAGCTGACCTCCCGGTCGGGATTGCTCAAAGAACACAACAGTGTTCTAATCTACGTAGTATTTAAGGCCTGGGGACAAAAATTAACTGGGGAAAAAAATAAAAAAATAAAAACTACAATAGCCTGCAGTCCATATTCCTCAGATTCATAATTAGGAAAACAAAGCTTCGCTCTCTGTGAAACTTCTCAGCGTCCTGTCATCGTTCCCACACAAAAGCGCTGCGCAGCTGCAGCTTTTCCTGCCTATCATCACCACGCTCACAGACCTCTCACCGTAACCACCAGATTCTTATCGTTTTTCCGTTTCGGACACCTTCCCTACATCTAATCACCTCCCCCCGTCTGTGGCACCGCTTCAGGCAGCTCCAGGCCCGAGACGCGGGAAGGCCGCGTGGGGCGCGTTGGGCCGAGCCGGGTCGGCGGCCCTCAGCAGCACCCTTACCTCTTGGCGGGCGCTTCCCCGGCGCCGCCCGCCCCGTTGGGAGGCGGCGGAGCCGCCGCCGCCGGCGGTTCCTCCATTTTACCCCCGGCGCTTTCGGTGGCCGCCGCTACAGCCGCCGCTGCCGCCATTTTCCCAACGCTGAGCCTTTGTGTGATGAGAGCCCGCCCCGCCGCTGGGCGCGAGGAACGCCGGGAGGTGAGGAGGGGGGGAGGGGCACGCGAGGGGCGCTCTGCGTTTGCGGCATCATCCTGCGCCATCCTCTCGCGTCATCTTTCTGCGCCACTGTCCTGCGCGCTGCGGTGCCACACTTCTCGCGAGAGGTCCAGCGCACGGAGTGGGTGCTTTGCGGCACAGCGAGCCGTAGTGCAGCATAGCGCAGCATAGCACGGCTTGGCCTGGCGCAGCACAGCACAGCATAGCACAGCGTAGTACAGCATAGCACAGGGTGGTACACCATAGCACAGCATGGCATAGCACGGCACAGCACAGCATAGCACAGTGTGGTAGACCATGGCATAGTATGGTAGGCATAGCATGGCACAGCATGGCATAGTACAGCACAGCATAGCACAGCATAGCACGGCCTGGCATGGCATAGCACATCATGGCATAGCACAACATGGCATAGCGTGACCTGGCATATATAGCATAGCTTGGCATAGCAGAGCACAGCGTGGTTTAGCATAGCGTAGGATGGCACAGCACAGTGCAGCATAACGCACTGTGGCATAATACAACCTGGCACAGTGTAGTGCAGTCTGGCATAGCACAGCATAGCATGGCGCAGCACCATGTGGGCTGGGGGTGGCTCTCCACCACTCAGGCTCAGCCTGGCTTCTGTTCCGTCCAGCACTGTGCTCCAAGTGGGCTGTGAGGGCTACATCCTGTGGTGTTGCTGTGCACATCGGACCTCCAATGAGACTCTATCAGCACTACACACCCCAGCCAGCTCGGGGGTCTCTTTGTGTATGTAGACACTTGAGGGAAGGTGCAAAGCAGACAAAGCTAGGATCTGCAGTGGTGCTCAGGACAGGGTGAGAGGCAATGAGAGCAGAGAGACATGTCTGAACATTGAGAACCACTTATAGACACCCATTCTTTTTGTACATTGATAGGCTTACAGTTCATGAGAGAAGTAATGTAATGGGTGATCAAAGTCACCTGACATTTCAAAGGCACTGAACTACATGTTACATATATATGCTCACAATGAAATACACAATGATTAAATACTATGCATCGATTAGATGCTGATCTGTTAGCCTTATATAGCAGTCACATAGTATTCCTGATATGGAATGTGGGTTGGCCATTATATGGATCTCCTCTGAACACTTTTAGACAATTTGATGCCCTTCTGACTTTCTAGGGCCCAGACCTGCACCCAGGGCTCAAAGTGAAGCTGCACTGTGCAGAGCAGAGCAGGACAGCCCCTTCCTTCACCTGGCATCAGTGCAGGGAACCATGCACTGCAGGGCACCTGTCAACCAGAAGCCCCAAGTCTCTTGCAGGCTGATCTCTGGCCTTTCATCCCCTACCTGTAGCCACAGGCAATCCCCAGCAGCATGAAGTCGAATCCCACCCCTGGGTGTGCAGCCCTGGCCATGGCTACAATAGGAAGATCAGAGGCCAGACAGCAGCCTGCAGAACGAGACCTGGGGGTTCTGGTCGAGAGCGAGTTGGGTCTGAGGCAGTGTGCCCTGGAACCCAAAGGCCCCACAGCCCTGAGCTGCTGGAGCTCAGGGAGCATTGAGACACCGCCAGGATTTGGGTTTTGGTGGTGCTGTGGGGCCGGGAGCTGGACTCAGGGATCCTGTGGGTTCCTTCCAACTCAGGCTGTGCTGTGATCCTGTGATTCTGAGTGCTTGACTTGCAGCACCCAGAAGCTATTTTCATGTCCCCTTTGGAAAATGTAAGATTTTGATGAACGGCCTTTCTCCTCCCTTCTTCTGCATGGTGATGCCCAAAGCAGCAGTGTGAATCTCTTCAGTCTGACATGGCTGTCTTCACTCCTGGGCAGCTGTGATCTGGGGCTGCTTCAACCTGTTTGTATAATGAATATCAGGGTCACAGTTAAGATTTAATTGGGACAGAAATCAAACTGTTTGCAAAGGTGAACTAACGCTAAAAGCACACTGCAGAAATGCATGCTGCAGGCAGGTGGCTGAAGGAGCAGTTTCAGCCTGTGGCTCAGCCAGCATAACTTAATTCCTTTTTGTGTACAGTCAGTGATATCAGAGAGGAGTTTTTGGTCTTTCTTTAACAAAAGCTTTGTATAGGTTGTAGCCTTGAGGCAAATAGATAGGGATCAAAGTGGTTTGACTTGAATTAGTATCATAGCAGGTGTTAAATATGTTGATCTTGAAAAACACTCAGAGCAGTGGATGAACTTTGGCAATGTCATGTTTAACTGCTTAATGCTGTTTGATAGGAATCTATTCCGAATGGCCTCTGGAAGCCATAGCCCACTGCCACTAATGACTATGGACAGCAAGTGTGAAACTCTAAACCTTAATACAGGGACACCTCCTTCAAGAGCGTAAGTGCCCCATACATACTCATAACAATGAAGCTGTGTATAGTGGAATAAAAGCTTTGGAAAGATACAGGAGAAAACATTTTTTTACAGGAAATGCTGCTGTGTGCCATGTGACTGTTTTGTAATGGTATGGATCTCAGTCCCTTCTGTTATCAGCATTGTTGCCTCAAAGGGGGGAATTCCAAAGGCTGTAATGAAGAGAGTCCCCACCCAAATCATGGTTGTAGGGGCTAGGAAATCCAAGCAGTTGTGTCTCAACTGTCAGATAATCAATTAATCCTATCTTGGAAAGTAACAGTGTGGGGAGAAGAGAGGAGACAAGGAAGTTGATATTCTAAAAGCCAACACTGGTCAAGTGCTCATGTTTTTATATAGGATGACTGGCACAGTGGGAGGGCCAGCTTGTGGTAAGAAGGGAATAGATTGCCCCTGTTCTCAGAGGGAGAAGAATCAGAGAAAATCTGCTGAACTTCATGGCACAATGCTTTAACTTCGGCTTCTAATTCTGGGGCCTGTGCCTAGATGTGTCGAGAGTTTAAAGCAGTAGGCAATGAAGTCATGATGCAATTCTGATTCTGATTCAGTTCCTTTAGACATTTTGTATCTTATATCCTGTGTAGTTTTAGACTTTTGATTCTGTAATGCCTTAGAAGGGTTAAATAGGTATGGCACAGATTTCTATCTAATCTCTATTAAGCTATGATACCGTATTATTAACAGATTTACTATTATGACAGCAGGGACTTAGACTGCCCAGGCCTTGTCTGTGCCTGGCAAAGTCTGATGCTAACTGGGGACACGGACCACATGTACAATCTTGGCACTCCTCTGAAGGTGATGAGTTCAGGAGGAATGGTTATGTATCGTTTTGTACTACCGAATGTAACAGTTCTTTATAAATTACTATTGAAGGGT